AGTGTCTTATATTGATTTGAATCAATATCATCGATACCAATTCTGATTTAGACTAATGATCAAATACCTAAATATCCATTGATAAGACAAAACTGAGAAACCTTGTGAATCACACAATCTTATCAACATCTAGTAATGGTTGCTAATGAAGATATAGGTACATCTGGAAAGGAATCTTCCCAAAAAAGGACTGGCATCTTTTGGAAAGATGCACTAATTCATACTCTGGTTCAAGACCTGAAGGAGTTTGAAGTATATAAGCAAGATATCTTATAAAGAATCAAAGTCATCTCCTAACACTATTTTATCGACTCAAGTCCTACAGTAAAAGATATGACTTTAGCAGGAAGTCAAAACACAGCAGTTTGGACACATACCAGCAGTTCCGAAAGCATTATGAATCTCCATGTGTAAGAAATGTACAATGTCTACGAGTTGCTCCATCACCTTAAATAACAAATACATACAATTAGTGTGGCTCCTCAAAAGAAATAATTCGCAAGAAAACAACATTTATAACTTAAAACAGAAAAACCAGTGATGAAAAGGATAATAAGCCTACCTACACTGGTTTTTTAGAATACTCTAGTACTTAGTTACCTCTTCCAAAATCTTGGACCAAAGTGACTTCTTTTGCAAACTTCTCACGTGCTTCTTCTGACTCTTTAATTCTGCCCTCAAGATAGTAAGGCTGTCCCCTGTACATTTTCATGCATCCCCACAATTAAAGAAAATTCAATAACCTGAAATACCTAATTGCATGTGAAAAGGAAACAACAATACACTAAAGAACAGAACCAAACAAATGAAAACATGGTTAGATATCCCACTCAATAGCCAAAAGTAGCTGCTATAATAATAACAAATTATTATAATGATATAAATAATAATAATAATAATAATAATAATAATAATAATAATAATAGTAGTAACAACAATAACAGTAATAAGTAATTACTAATAATAATGATGATGATGATGAAAATATTACCAACTTAATAGCAACAATAACAACAGTTCATTGTCTATACACTAACAGTGGATGTGGCAAAATTCTTGGCATCTAGTTGAGATTATGATCAATAATGCATGGCAGCCTCAAGCCCTCAAGTATAACTAGATGAACAATATTTTGCCACAGGCTGAAGGTTCTTCATAATCTTCACCATATATCTGCAATAACCCTTGGACACTAAATGCTTTCGAATGACTAAAGGGACCTTCCAGGTATGGTTTTATAGTGCATGCCCACTTGCAGACAACAGGACCTTCGCCTATAAGCAGATGAACAAGCATGGCTGCCTTCCATCTAGGATGAACTAGAGCCTCGGAAACATTATGAGCAACATGATAACTATCCATGCTAAGATGAAATCATAATGCCTCGAACAAACTTAGTATAATAAAGATTGGTATAAACAGAACGTTCTCACCGACTAATAGGCCTATAAACACACATATGGTGTTCCTTTTTTCATGGGAATGGGAAAGTAAAGGGTATCATGAGAAAATTAAGACGCACACTTGGAGTAGGATGTTCTGTGAATTGTTGGTCCTGCACTACATCCTCACAAGGTATAATAGTGTATGATGTCCCCCATTGATATACTTGAAGAAGAACCACTACAATAGTCTGAGAAATCGAGAAAGGATCAGGTTCATCAGAGAAATTTAAATCAGGAAGTACTTCTGTATCTACCTTACATTTTGAACCTTGTCAGACAGATAAGCATACTTGTACTTCTTACCCATCTAGTCTAAATCTACTTCTTTTAACTTCATAAGTATACCCCATGATATCTACGGTCAATTTGAATCATCCGATTAGTTGCAGGCTCTTGAGAGACACAATGGTCTGTACTCATAGATAATATGCTTCAAGGAACATAGGCATGCAAACAACAGTCAAATGGTTGAGGCAGGAAATGGTAATTACTGAGCACATGCCTCCTACATGTCTATAGTACCATTAGCTAGGTGACGATCTTGATAACATATGTCTATCCATTATCACGTGATCCAACCAGAGGCTATAATCAAGGAGGAAGTAAATGTATTAACATAGGTATGAAGTGCAACACAAACACAAGAAGCAGCCTGCCCTTGAGATGCTCGCTGCAACTCAGGGCAATTCCATTCTCGATGGGCAAGCTTGTGATAAGAGAGACAGTTTTGTCCACCAATCTCATGGTAATCTAAATATAAAAGCCTCCACCAGTACCTTTGCCACTTATCAAAGCCAGAATTATGACCAAAGCCTCAATTAGAACGTTTCATGCTCTTCCTGGACTTCATCCCAGACCTCCACGCCAAAGTAGAAGATTCCCGTGCATCATCTAATGAAGCGGGTTAGCTAAATCAAATATCCCTAAGGAGTTTGGCTGGTATAAAATGTGCTATGGGTGACTTGTACAGTAGTGTTAGATATCCTACATAGTTAGATATCTAGGGTTTTACTTTCTTGGCCTCCTTTGTGTAGTTTCCTAATATAGGACTCTTTTGTATATAAATGTTTGTATCCTCTCCTATTATGAATAAGAAAATACAATCCCCATAATATTATCATGGTATTAGAGCCCTGATGGAACCCTAACCACCACTATCACAGGAACTCGACATAACCCTAGTCGCTGCCGCCGGAACTCGTCTGAACCTTCGCCGTCACTGCCGGAACCCTAGTTGTTGCCCTCCTCGACAAGTGACTTCACTGTTCCCGGTATAACTAAATTTGTGAGGGAACTAACTTCAACCTTTTTATACAATCAAGTTCAAAAATGCCACCTACAGACAAAACTCAATGACCGACGTCCAGTGACTTCACTGTTCCAGGTATAATTAATTTTGCTGTTGTGTTAAAGATTCCGGTTAAACTCAATTCTACAAATTGGGCTCAATAGAGTATGTTTGTTCAAATCAGTCTTGAAAATTTGGATAAGGATGATCATTTAAGTCGGGACCCTCCGAAGTGGTATACGAATGGCCCTACAGAATGCAATGGAACCACAAGTCCTAACCATTGCCTAAAACTACCCGACCACAAAGAAGACGTGGATCCACTTGGAGTCTTCCTTCTCGACCGAGGAATCCTGGTCTCATACTTATTCCATGTTCGGATCTTATTTCAAATGCGAGCAAAGGTGATTCCGGTTCTCACCGAGTACTATACAAGGCTATCGAAGCTACCCAAGGAGCTCCGAGTTCTTTTCCCTATAAATCCTGATGTCGGTCACTTAGGATCTCAGTCATTGGCATTCACGTATCATCTTGACGAGAAAGGTACTCTAGTAGCTCTCCATCCGTCATCCGGGAGTGACATATCAGCTTTTGCAACCTCTAGTAGCAGATATGGTAGAAGGGACGAATATATGAAAAAGATCTAATGTTCTTATTGCAAGGAGTTTAGGAGTATAATTGCCCGAATCGTCCTACTTTTGGCCTTGAATCTCGACCGTCGCCTCGTCCTTCTCGAGCCCAGGTTGCATCTATAGATGGTATTATCGCCACTCACATAGTCAACGATGAAGATGGCTCTCAATCCCAACATGAATCTTCGAGCCAGGTTTCATCTACTCCTCGTGCTAGCACAACAAAATCAGGTATATTATCTGCTTGTTTTTCTACATGCTCAACATGGATTATCGATTCAGAAGCTACAGGTGACATGACTGGGAATAAAGAACTAATCCAATCTCAATACTGAGATACCACGTACTCCAGCTCGGCTAGCTAATGGATCTTCGTGTCAAATTAGGGGTGTGGAATCCACCAGCAACATGTCAAATCTAAATCTGTCATCTGTCCTTTATGTTCCCACTTTTCCAGATAGCTTAATATCCATTAGCCAAATTACAAAAAGACATACTTTTTTCCAACACATTGTGTCTTTCAGGAATTGGGGACAAACCGGTTGATTGGCACAGGTTTTGAATCTCAAGGTTTCTATCGTCTGTCCGCATTGCGATCTTTAGTAGCACATCTTTGTGATTAGGAGGCTCATTATCGGCTAGGCCATCCTTCTTTACCTGTTTTGAGACAGTTGAGACCGGATTCTTCGTCTGTTCGTGAGTTAGTTTGTGAGTCATGTCAGTTGGATAAACACACTCGTTGTCCTTATCCCCTTAGAGGGTCTAGTCTTGTCACCGCTTTATATCAGTTAATTCACTCCGATCTATGGGGACCTTGTCCCGTGATTTCTACTAGTGGATTTAAATATTTTATTACGTTTGTTGATGACTTTTTTCGTGCAACATGGGTTTATATGCTCAAGTCACATAATGAAATATTTTCCATCTATTGTGATTTTCATGCTGATGTCAAAATCCAATTTGATGTCCCTATTAAAACTAAGATCTAATAATGCAAGCAAAAGAATATTTTTCTTCCGATTTTACAAGTTATTTATCTAAGCATGGTATTGTACATGAATCGTCGCGTGCCGATACACCCCAACAGAATGGCATTGCCAAAAGAAAGAACCCATTTGTTGGATGTGGCTCGCACTATGATGATTCACTATAATGTACTACAGCTTTTGGGTTAATGCACTTCTTACAGCTAATTATCTGATTAACCGTATGCCTTCTCCTATTCTTAAGGGAAAGACACCTTTTTCCGCTCTATTTCCAAAAGACACTTCTTTTCCTCTAGCTCCTAAAATCTTTTGATGTGTTTCTTATGTCCATGATCATCACCCAGGACATAATAAACTTGTAGCTCGTGCTATCAAGTGTGTGTTCCTTGGGTATTCACATGTCCAAAAAGGCTATCATTGTTATAGTACTACCCTGCCTAGATATTTTACTTAGGTTGATGTCACCTTCAATGAGTTGTCCCTTCTATGACAAACCTACCTCTAGTGGTTCGAGTCGACCAATCTGGCTCTGGATCCTTTCGAATCTTTTGATCCTCCGGTCTTTGATATTCATATGCAGACACCAAATGTTGCTATTCCGATAGTACCTCCTAATACTCATTTCACGAACGTGTATGCTCAACAGCACCGCAGGCAACCCAGGAGTTCTTACATATGCATCATGATTCTAGTGAGTCTCTTGTTCCACCACCTAATACACCTCAACTACCACATACCAAGCCTTATGATCCACCTGGTGCCCCTCCCCCCGATATTCCAATTGCCTTCCAAAAAGGCACACGGAGTTGGAGGGCTTCGTTATTTCCTCAGGATAGAAGTATCTCGATCAAAGAAAGTATGTTCTTGATATGCTTACTGAGTGTGGTCTATTGGAATGTAAACCGGTGGACAGCCCAATGCTCAACTACAAGAAAACTTCTTTTGGATGATGGAAATCCTCTAAAAGATCCAAAGAGATAAGAGAGATACAAGAGACTGATTGGAAAGCTAAACTATTTGAAGGTTACTCAACCGGATACATCATCCCTGGTTAGTGTCTTGAGCTAGTTCATGTCTTTTCCCTATACAATACGTTGGGAGGCAGTACTTCACGATTTTGGAGTATCTCAAGGCCATACCAGGCTTAGGGATACTTTATTTAGATCGGGGCGATTGTCGAGTGAGTGCATTCACTCAAGAAGGGGATGGCAAGATATATGGTTTCTCTAATGTCGATTGGGTTGGTTGTCCTGGTTTCCAAAATATCGACTACAGAATATTGTGTATTTGTCGGTGGGAATCTAGTTTCTTGGAAGAGCAAGGAACAACATACAGTATCCCGATCAAGTGCCCAGTCAGAGTACAGAGCCATGTCAGATGTGTCATGTGAGATAACGTGGATAAGAAGAATCCTATGAGAGCTTGGGGTGATTACTGATGACTTGATGAGATTATGTGGTAATAATAAGTCAGCTGTTCATATAGACAAGAATCAAGTATTTAATGAGAGAACTAAGCACATTGAGGTTGCTTGTCATTTGATCAGAGACCGGGTTGTCGGAACCCAAACATACCCTCCATCGATTAACTAGTACACATCAGGACCAAGCACCAGCTTGTAGACATTCTTACAAAGCCATTGCGGGAACCCCAAATAGATTTCATTTGTAACAAGTTGGGCATGATTCTTTGCTCCAACTTAAGGAGGAGTGTTAGATATCCAACATAGTTAGATAGCTAGGGTTTTAGTTTCCTGGCCTCCTTTGTGTAGTTTCCTAATATAGGATTCTTTTGTCTATAAATGTTTGTATCCTCGCCTACTGTGAATAAGAAAATATAATTCCCAGAATATTATCAAGAAGTAATTTGTTCATGAGAGTTCTTTGTCAAATGATTTAGGATCTCCTTGTTAAGACATGACAGATCACAAATGTAAATAGGAAATTGATTCCAATACTTATCATCTAACTTGCTCGGGATCGTAAAAGACTTTACTTCAATGTTCATTTTTGGGCCAAAACTAATAAAACTTGTTGCTTTATTATCCACGTAATCAGCCAATTAACTAAGGGGCCGTTTACCAAACGCTTACTGGTAAGCGCTTAGGTCACTTGCCTTACCGGATGAACATGAAAGGACCGAGTAAATTCTTTCCGGGTAAATTCTTTCATACGATGCCATTTGGATGGACTAGAACCTTACCCATTAAGCTAAGTGAGAGTGTTGATTTTTACCGTTTAAGTGCTTACTGGGTAAGTATTTGGGTAAACGGCCCCCAAGTGTCACAGTTACAGAACACGATAACACAAAGGCAAACAATCAGCAGCAAGAGTAGGTGAATGAATCAAACCAAGAGCAAACCATACTAACAGCAATACGTCAAGGCAACCAACAGATCAAATGCATCCATGTATAAGATAAATAACAAGCAGGAAACTTTAATCCAGACACAGTAGTAGAGAAGATCATCCAAACACAAATCTTCCATTACAAAACAGAAGTACCAGACAACATCTTTCACATGATTGATTAATCCAAGAATTTTACCATCCATGTCAGAGTTTGAGACCTCAATTGAGTCAAAGCCATGCAAGGGTTGCATACTCAAGCAGGCTGTAGTTACAACCATAGTGTTTAAGAAGACACATGACGTTGACAAGATGTTAACTGAATCCACCAGGTGGACAGTGACCGACTGCACAGCAACGTAGTGCAGTCGTGAATCAGCCAACATCAACCATCTGATATAGCATCTTCCGTGATTTCAGGGGATAATGGTGGCTACGGTTTAACAGAGAAAATGGTGATATGGTGGCTAGGGTTAGATTACTAGATATGGTGGCAGCAATGGCTTCAAATAAAGAGAGGTGGCAAAGGCAATTTTTAAGGTTTTTCTTTGAGGTGGTGGCTAGGTTCAGATCAAAGCCTTGCAGCTCTAATACAAGGTAGTCTCAAAAAAGGTGCTTTATTGCTATCGATTGACTGAGTATATATGGATCACAGAAATGGATATTGGCTGAGTTTTAACAAAGTCTATATGAAAGTTTCCTAATTACAGAACATTTACCCTTACTCTTAATCAAAATCAAATTGTTGTTTGCTACATGTAGAAAAAACTGAAAATAGAAAAAACTTCAATTTGAGATTTAACCTAGGTTATTCGGGAGAAGTCCAACAATATGAATAATGAAATACTGAAAACCCATCACGTACTTCAAGCCAAAACCCAAAAGTCAAAACATTTAGGCACAGCACCTTTATGCCACAATATTAGAACAAACTTACAATTAAATAAATATAACAATCATAAACATAAACATAATACAAGGTGGACAAAGCTCCATTGCACGCACAACATGCCAACATAACTTGTTGCTTAAAGCTATCAGATAAAAATGGATGTCGTAGAATGTTAGAACCACATAATATGTGGAATATCAAAATCCCTTTCTTAGGGTCTCACAAACCAAGGTATGCTCGAATGGCAAATTCATGTCCGGCACCAGTATCCTTCTCTGTTGGGTATTCTTGGCGCAATATTTACTAATTTGAGGAACTGGTATGTGGAAAACTAAGCCCATACAATATGCCAATGCATTTCTCTCCAAGGGGTTGCATCACCTTCTACCCTTCAAAAATTATTATTATGCTAACGAGGATAAGCATGCATTATTTTTTACTTTGTACCTTATATAGGTACATCTCATGATGTCAAAAAGGCCATTATTAGTATTAGCAACATATAATAAAGCATCTGAAGATCATCAGCACACCCACTACATCTACAAATACTACAGGGGTGTACGCATCCATAAAATCTCATGCAATTGTTCTCATCATGTCACCGTCGCGTCAGGCATTATTAGCTACATAAGAGTGATTATAACAGGCTTTCACGTATGCAAGTAACGTTTGCCATACTTAGATAACAAATGTGAGAGTTACCTCTTGGAGGAGCATTAGGGTTATCCTCTTCTAGTTGCTTGCGGCGAAAATCTTGTTCGAACCTGTCCAAGGCATGTAACTCATGGTATAACTCCTGCATACAAGGAAAAGATATAGTCGTTTTTCAAGAACATAAAACTTTCCAAAGGTAGGCTTAAAAATCATTGTGTAAGTTTAGCACTTCCCGATGATATTACAATACAATTTCTTGAATCAACAAAATAACAAAAACAAAGCTAGTCGAACCTTGTATCTATGCAGAATATATAGCTAGGATCGTAGACCAAATACATGGATACGCAGCTGGAACCCAAATATTAGAAAACGGGAGACACAAAGTGACCTATAATGCACTTGACACTCCTCAAGTTGGAGCATATCACATCCATATTGCAAAAACAAGTATTTCAACACGAATTAATCACCCACCAGGGGAGGAAGGGGATTAAAAAGAAACAAGTTATGAACCTCACACCTAAGTTCCTAGATGAAGTCAATTTGGGCCTTCTGTAGAGGCCTCATCAAAATGTTAGTTAGCTGGTAGTTGGTATGGATATGAAAATCCTGCGTGGATGGGATATCCCAGGACATAGTTATGCACCAACTGACAGTTTATGTGCTTGGTATATTTGTGGAGAATATGATTGCCACATGGACTGCTAAGTGATCATAACATAATAACTGCATTAATTTGTTCATGAGAACTCCTGAATCATGGAGAACACGTACGGTCCACTCCATATCTGATTGCTATGCTACCATCTATCATGACATGATACTCCAACTTCATAATGTGCAAGGAGAATTGCTTCCTACTTACTCCTGCTCCATAATTGATTCCACTCTGCAGTTTGTATATAAGATATATACCTCCTCAGTGCTCCTGTGAGATATGGCTCAAAATGAACAATGTCAAGAGGCATATATTGACCAACAACTCTTATAGTATGCAACATTCAGTCATGTAGCTGGCTCCTTCGCAATCATTAAGAGGCTTTCTATAATAAACTAGGAACTTCGTTTTGGAGCACAGGATAATCCACTTGTGTCTACATGTAGTCCACATTCATATAAAGGATCCAAGATACAAGGAGGACCAGTTTGTATGACCTATGTGAAGATCATGTAACTGATACATTCACAAAGGGACTACCCATTAAACAGTTCCATTCTTTAGTACGCAAGCTGTATATGAAGATATCTTCAAGCCAGCTTGCCAGGGAATGTTGAAAATAACAGAACTTTTTTAGGCAAGTTTTCCAATAGGAAGCGTCACAATGCATAAATAGGAAGGTGTACCTGTGAGCTATTTATTCTCGATATTAGAAGATTGTGCCTAGAATTAGTGATGGTATTTCCCTTCTTAGAGTAGAAATATTACCAAAATGGATGACCTAATATACCTTTCAAATAACCATATCTAAGTCCGTTCCTTATGTGAGGATAAGTATAGTAGCTTCAGATTATGAACTAGGCTATGAACTCAAGCTTCAAGGGCCTATGGGAGATTAATATGTAGGCACATTCTTCTGTGTCATTTCTTGTCCAGAAGGTCCAACAAAGAGATGATGAGTAGAAAGCTAACCAAATACCAAAGAAAAGAGAGGACAGTAAAAGCATTTTTAAGTCGATGGAAATTCTCAAACCAATTAGCCCAAGCTCAGGAAGCTAGCACAAGGAAACAAGGTTCCATCAGAAGGTCTAATCGAAAGTTTCAACAATTATGGTCAGAAATCAGAACCATATAGCGTGTCCGATAGTCAAGATAAAGAACACAATGTTTCATAATTTCAATTAGACTGAATGATACTCTATGTACAGAAGTTCTGACACCCTGGATAAAAGGTTCAATGCTAACATGCTTGTCAGCTAAATCAATCAAACTATCTTTAAGGAAATGACTTCTCATCAAGACCAACGGCAAATACAATATAATAGGTCATGAATAATTTGGTTTTCAACTAAAGGATTTTCCCCACAACTAGAAAAAAATACACTATCCTCTATCTCCTTTACTCTCTTGTTACTTTTTTCGTTATCTACCCAGTTCTAGGAAAATCTGTCACCAACCCCCCCCCCCGGCCAAGGAAAGAAATATTATTTTCCTACAAGTTTGTCACTAGTTGAAGCCACAGTAACATTAAAAGTAGTTCTGACATAAATATGGCAATCTACAATTTATGGCAGGTGGAAAAGCTTAGAACCATCATTCATTTCATACTGGGATATTAGACCACCTTTTATCAATGTGAAGATACCTATAATGCATGGCAGAGTGCAACAGACTACTGATTTTCTTGAGGTATAGCTTGTGAGTGCTAAGTCAGCAATCTATACACAGTTCATTCATCCTCATCATTTTGTGGTGATATAGAATGCAGATCATGCTTTTAGCAATAAGAAAAATTCCATCAGGTTTAGCATAGCAAAATGAACTGTTGCTGTCCTTGAAGCATACCTATGGTATGTTGGCGACAGATATTCATCTTTTTCTCTTTTTGGAAAAATTTTGGAGTAATGATTCCATCAGAAAAAGGTATTAGATCATCTTTATCAATGTTGATACAGATGGCAAAAATTGACTGCTATTATCCTTTATACATAGCTTATTGGTGCTGCATTGGCAACCAGTACTCACAGTTTATTCATTTCTTATTTGTTGATTCGCCGTGCATGTGGCATGAAGGTGTCAGAGTTCATTAATAAGTTTTCTTCTTTGATTGGCCTCTACCCTAGATGTGCTTGCTTATCATGATCCCTAATCTGCTGTAACGGTAAAGTTCCTTTTTTCTTGATTTTTTCCTTCCAGGATTGCAAGGAAATTAAGACAGATACATTATATTGAGAAGTGAATACTTACGGCAGTATATTGAACCAAATTCTTCAAATGTTCCATGATGGTTTCTGCTTCTTCTTTTAGTTGCTTCTGGGGATTAAGTTCTGATCCCAATCTAAACACAACAACAAAGGCATTAGCATCAATGATTGGATTCAATTTGACACAATGGAATAATGTCCATAGAATTACTTTTCAAAATATCGGTCCAAATTGTGCCATTGAGGATCTTTGCAACGATTTCCGAAACGAACCACTTCTCCAGAAAACACTTTTAGTTCTTCCCTACAAACATAAGAGAAGCAAGAACATCTAAAAGACATGCTTTCAAGTAATATGAACTCTTGAAAAGGTAAAAGAGCATAAAACATTGCATGTCAAATATCAATGCTTCATCATTAATTCTTTTCATTATACCCACCTCTTATCAGCTGCAGCAATTCTCAGGAGCTCATCCATGTCTTTTGATATTAAGCGCTGCACACCTTCTGAAGGCAACACCACCTCTTTTAAATGTTTTATGTTATCTTTTGACAGAGATTGCATAAGAGTGGCACCCTTAACGATTGTGTTGGCAACTTCAAATGACAATATTGTTATTTTATTTCCTTTTGTTGCCACCCCCGACACAAAACCACTGCTGAGATGCAAGCTTGTCATGCTGCTACCAAGTGTATCCAGCACTTCTACTGCCTTCCCAAGACTAGCAGTACCAGCTTTACCCAGAAGTGAGCTCACTTCTGAAACCTGCATTGCTCAAATTAAAAGATTGTATACAGTTCCCATGGATAATTAATCCAGGTCTCCATGAAACATCTATGAGCTTAGTTACTACTCATACAGCTCAAATATTTAGCCCCTCCTTCAATAGCGAGAGAATCATCATAATTATATAAGAACGCATACAGCCATAATGTTGGGATCATGCAAAACAATGCATTTTTCATTTAGATGGACTTTGTGATGTCATAATAACGGCATAATAAAATTTCCATACCGACCTAATTTTGAAGAAAAGAGCCGGCAATTACTTGCACTATATTAGGTATTATATAAAGTCACAAGTAAATTTCCATTTCTACTTGACGGTTCTAGAATTTGAGGGGTTGAATTCTGCATTATTGGGAGAATTTGAAAAAAATGCAAAGACTGTAAGGTCTATCTCCATATCATCCTCAAATGGACATATATTTAACCATCCAGAAATACTATCCCCGTTGAAATTACTCCCTATTGATATATTGATGGTATCTCCCTTTAATCCACAATCGTTGATATTAACACAAAATTGGTGTCACTTCTAAGCCAAGCAATTTAACATATCTTTGACATGAAGCTAACACTTCGGCCCAGACAATAAAAGACGGCATCCAGGAGCTCTTTCTTTGTAAGTAAAATAATGTGCCTTCCTAAAAGCATCAACTGAAGTAGGTTTGACAAACACACACACACACACACACACTCCTCTCCTGCTACCACGCTTCCCTTTCCATGTAGACCCATAATTTCAGCGAGAAGTATCTTGTCCCCAAAAAGTAAGACCTCGTTCTTTTAATGAACTATAGTAGTGTTACTTTTAAACATTGGAAATGATTTTGTACTAAATACTACAGATCTAAGCTTTCCTCGTGTAACTTGCAATATGATAATCATCATAATTGGCACATCTTTATTCTAAATTAAGTATTTTATACCTTTTGTTACGATAATTGCACGTGATAGTGTTTTTGATGATATACAAGGGAATAGGAGCTTAATAGAAAATAGGGTGTAAAATGGGACTTTAAGATTACAAAACCCAAAGCAAGTGACCAAGGGCGTCAAAGAAGCAGGAAAAAAAAAACTTTATCATTGTCCCGGTGCAAGGAGTGCCTAACCCAGTGCAAGGATCTGCTAAGCTCATCCACTTGGTAGAGCTCTAGCACACATGCGTTGGTGGAGAGGTGGAGGTGTTCAACGAGCATGCACCCTGATTTTTTCCCTTTTTGGCACCCTTTTACATTTATTTTTAATGTTTCAGTTGTAGTTCCATTACCGGTTTAAATTATAACTCCCAGATAATGATAGTTAGCATGAGATGATTATTCTTTTCCACATGGATCAAGGGAGTGATCCTCTTAAGAGAAGGTTGGGAGCTACAAAAAGGTTGTTTCCGATGAAATCAACAAATAAAAATACATGCACTGCAAAAGAGGCTACCAAAAAGGAAAACGAGACTATAAATAGTGTCAAGAAAGAAAAGAGAAGTTCATTTTCAGGAACTTGGTTCGCTTTTGCACCAAAAATAAGGTCTTCAAATTAATGAATTATGAGGAACCAATCAGTGAAATGAGAAGTTAAACATTTCAAAACATTACCAGATATAAGAAGTTTGTGTGCTATGCTATTTTCATGTTTACTTCTTGTTGTGAATTTTGCTAGATAGCTTATACAAATGATTGTCTTAAGCAGAAGTCAGTCAGAGTGTTAAGATGGCCGTGCATGGTACACAACCTTTGTCCCAAGGAATAACCACTTCATCATTTCATTTTTCCATCTATGTTATGAGATACAATCTGAAAACATAACGTAGCCTTCTATCATAAGGATTCAAAACGGGAGTGTCTTATTAGTTTTACTTTTATTCCTTCTCGCTAATTTACCAAGGATACAATTTTCCTTGCCCATTTAACTACATTCTAAGTATGTTTTTTAGTTCTATATAAAATCCACAAAAAATCATTATTTCATTCAAACAACTAAACTCAATTTAACCACCATATCTACTTCAACAACTTATCCTTACTATATTAGGTCTATAAATACTATCTTTATAGATTGACTTTGGCATGCCAATCATAATAACTCCATTATATACTATAAAAAGTAATTACACAAATTTGGATTTCAAATTTCATCAAGTTTCCTAACCAAAGGATTAATAAGTACTACACTCCCTGAAGTCTTCCGTCAAAGATTTCAGCTTTGTAGGAACATAGGACTCCAAACAACCAGGGAAAAAGAGAGAGAGAGAAAGAAACACATAATTTCAGAATCTTCTTATGAAAATTTTCAAAACCTTCCTCTACCTCCCATTCACCTTTCTTGTGCAATGCAACTGCTATCCAGCCTCAAACGCATATGGATACCCAACAACAAGAATGCATGTAAGCTCTAGTTCAAGGCAAGAAACATTACTTTTCTAATTATAACTTCACCCACTTCCAGCAAATTTCTGCGAATCAATCTCCCACAAACACAACACACAACCAAATTGGAACAGCTACCTGGTCAATTATTGTATTCCAACGCTGATCAAAGTGGTACATGGTGGACATTCTAATATATAATGATTCCTACCAAAACGCTAGTTTTTATCCCTTTGGCATTGATAATCATTCAATCATAGTAAGGAATTAAATATGTAACGCGGACAAAATGAGTAGGTCAAACCTAATTATTACAACCTTCCCTTCTCGTTGATCTCAATCTATGCAAAACCCTCCAACTAATTCTCTTCTTTATACTCCTGATATGCTACTTCCCATGATTGACAAATGCCAAAGCATGGTGATTACACACTTGACCTTTCTACATCCTACTTCATCGTGCTTAGTTCTATTTCGGTGGCCATCATTGATGTTTCCCTCTCCATTTATGCCCATCCTTCCACGTCCTAATTGTGAATAGTTGTCTTACCTTATTAGACGAAATTGGAAGAATTTTACATAGCTAACCATGTAAGAGTTGGAACCATATGCTAAAGAGATGATATTGTTAATTGGATATCTCCAAAAAGAAATAACATTTAGGGTTTCCTTCCCTAATCTTCATATATTGGCATAAAGCCTGGGAAAGAGTTTTGGACGTCTACGTTTTTTAGGCACACAAGTATTTTCTGGTGGGTTTTTTTGTTTAATATTGCTTCATTCCTGCATTGATTATGTATCACATGATATAAACATTTGATGATTTTTTAGAACAAATATTCCTAATAATATATAGCAATAATGTGTGCAAGAACTTCATGTTATGGCTCAACCACTGCTTGTTAAGATTGTAGAAGTTGCAAAATAATGTTTTATGCCTGATGGCCGGTATCGATATCTAAAACTTACTTTGGCAATTCACACAATTCCCCTAACTTCACGTGTAGTGTTTGAAAAAGAAAATGTATGATACAAATGTCCACAAACTCACATTACGCGACTATGTCTAGTAGACATACCTTTGTAACTGACTTTGTCGATCTCGATTTATTTGATAGGGCCCTAGACAAACGAGGAATCCCATCATCAACATCCAATGGGTACGAAACAGCATTCATCTCTGGAAAAGAAAATGGCTCTCTTAGAGGCTGCTTGTTATCCATGCTTTCCCCAACACCCGAAGAGGTGGAATTGTCATTCACAGGCAATCCTCGAGATTGATAAACCATCCCAGAACCATAACTTAGTCCATTGACATGGGGAAAGCTTCCACCGTCTAAATCATCTTCAGTGGATCTCCTTGAGCAAATTCCACCCATCTTCTTGATCAACAAAACACCTTCTAAGAGTTGACTTGGAGCACTCGCAAACTTTTCACATAGAAGCCAATAACAAGCTGAATACCCCAGTAATGTTTCAACGAGTTCCTCTAAACAATCAAGTTCAAGTTCATTTCATCATAACAAACTGCAATCACAAAACCCAATATCTTAGGCATACGAACCCATTGGAGGATGGAAAAAGAAAAAGAAAAAGAAAACATACTGACTCCACAAAAAATGTCGAAAACATACAAATGAAATCAAGAAAAAGGCCAAATAGATACAAGTAAAGCGAGAAATTAGATAAGAGATTGAGTTGACTGTGGGTAATTACTGACCTCGTCGATGATCAGAATAGCGAAGCATACTATGGTATTGCTTCTCGATGTTAGAAGTAGCTCCCTTTTAGCGGTGTCGCTATATTCGATGAAGTCCCACGAAAGCATAGCCCAAACGCAAAGACGCCATCTCTGGTCAAACCCCCAAAACACAACCAACAAACAAACAAACTTAAAAGGTACAGTGTTCCAACTTACAATCACCCTTTTATGACTATTCACTTCTTTTGGTATAAACAAATCATAACATCTCCCTTCTATAAAATAATATTCCAACAACTTTGTTACAACTTATTTATTTATTTCGATATGATATTGATAAGGAATATTTTTGAGTGTTTGGATAAATAATTTACATTGGTAATAAGAAATTTTTGAAGAAATTAAATCATTCTAACTTATAATAAGTTGATAAGTATTTTTATAGAAAAACATAAGTTGTTTAAAATAAGCAATCTCAAACACCCTCTAAATTGAGATATTATTTTTTAAGTAAATTTCGATTTTCATCTTTAAGGTTTAGAAATAATGGTTTTTGTTCCTATAGTTTGTAAGTTATTGTTATTTTTGTCCCTAAACTAGTTCTTAGCTTTTTAAATACAAGGGACCAAAATAGTAAAAAATTATAAACCACAAATCATAAAAACTAAAATAGCAATGATTTACATATTATAGGGATGAAAACTGTAATATCTAAACCATAAGGACAAAAATTGCTATTTTTAATAAACCATAGGGGGGAAAAACATAATTTACTTTTATTTTTTTATAAAGGGTTTTCCTAAAAGTGTGTATTGAAATGATAAATTAGATAATATTATAGTAATATAATTTATATCAAAAAATTTAAAATTGAGAATTTGTTGTTGGAGATGAATATAATTTTTTTTAACAATTTATATTTTGGTTTTTTATTTTTAAAAAATTATACAAAAAGTTGTTGCGGATGCTCTTATATGTATCAATGAATATCAGATTGTTTATAACCGAGAATCAAAAATTAAAATCTTTAAAATTATTTACATTTAATTTTAATAATATTTTATTTTAAAGATTTCAATATCTATATTATTAAAATATTTTATACATTTATTATTTTAATAAACATTTTTAAAATATTTTATCTATACTATATTATAAAGCATTTAACAAAAACTCTTAAAAACTATTTTTATACGTAAAGTACTGTTTATTAATGCATAATACTTAAAACTCAA